AGCCCCCCGGTGTACACCCGATTCTGCTATTCGTACAGCGAGCGGCAAGAGCCTTCTGTTGTCTGCCCCACTGGATGGCTTCTCAGAGTTAACAAATGATTGTGTTTATTGACAAGTTCAAACATCAATACAAACGGACATATTAAAAACAGCCTCTGCCCCGTGAGACCTGGGGAGGGAGGAAGCGCCAGGGACTGGGCAAAGTATAAAAGTTATAAATAAGGGTCTTTTAAAACTGGGTCAGGGCAAATCTGGACAGGGCCGGCAGTTGCCGGTGGCCTCAGACATGCAGAAGGGGACGGGCACCAGCCTGACCACAAGACCCCCGCCCCACCAACGCTGGGCTAGGGGTGGGGAAAGGGTGACCACCCTCTCACAGACCTTAGCAGGAGTGCAGTTCCCTCCTGTGAGGGACAGGCTGGATGAGGATAGAAGAACCCAGCCCAATGGGCCAGGCCTGAGCCCTATTTGGGGTGGACTGTGGCTAGCCAGTGTGCAGATTTGGGTAGTGGGGTGGGAGTGAAATTCTAACCTCACAAGGCCAGCTGCAGCCCCACCAGGGTCCACCCTCAGCTACAACAGTTTTTGGGCCCAGGATTTCTCTGCAGGATTGGCCAGGTGCTGGTAGTAGAGAAGAGTGGGGATGAAATAGATTTCATCTGTTCAGGTACACTCAGGCTGCAGCAAACAGAGCCGAGCATCCTTTGGAATGCAATTTCTTTCAAAGCCTCTAACTATAGAGCTAGTAGGGGGCCCAAAGGCCCACCCATGGGAGAATGGGCTTTTGTGGCATGGAGCTACAGTAAAGCTTTCCAGACTTATCTGAGGCACAGGAAAGCAGTAGGGCCCAGAGACACATTCTTCATTCCAACTCAACGACTGCTTCACTACTTGGTCCTACTCTACCTGCCCACTGTGCCTTATCTTCCCCTCACCCCAAACAACTGTTTCTAATTCTAATCTATCCCCTCACCTCTACAACTTACCTATCCCTCCTACCACCTTTCCAGTGTCTCTTGGCCCCTACTGTAGTCACAGGTGCCTCTCCCCCCTCAACCTCCAGTATCCAGAGCACCCTGGGTGCCCAGCTCTGCCTTTCAGGAGGCTCTTTCCACTCAAACCTGGTACCCTATGGGCCACACAAGCTAGGCTGTGGACATCAAGAATCCAAAATTCGAGTTTAGTATGCTCCATCCCTTTCCCAGAGTGGTGAAGTTGGGGCAGGACGTGAGAGGAAACCGAGCACACATCAGCCAGCCAAGTACTAGGGGGGGGTGTGGGGTGTGGTGTGGTGTGTGTGTGTGTAAGATGCCATCTGTGGCCAAGGTCCTTTAGAAGGTGGGCCAGCGCCCTGTAAACCATGAAGGAAGTTCCAATAGGTTTCTGATTGAGCATCACTCAGGATGCAGGGAGAAGGAGGCTTCTGGGCTCCAGCAGCCTGCTGGGGAGCAGAGTTGGAGGATAGGGAAGGCTGAGGAGCTGAGGAAAAGAGGCCAGGGCTTCATGTCTGCCTAGCAGAGGGCATTACTGTCCTGCAGCAACATCCCACAGCTGGTTCCACACATTCTGGCCAGGACAGAAAGGGGGCACAGGGAAAGGCAATGTTAGGGCCCTCTTGGAGGGGGAATGGGAGTGGAATGTGGGGGCTCAGGCCTTGATACCAACTCAAGCCTCCCGATGCCTGGAAAGACCCTGGAGGGCAGAGGGCTCTGCCTTTCTGAACTGCCAGGAATTGGGGGAAAGGAATAACCCGTGCTCTGGCAGCCAGGGTAGTGCAGCTGGTATGGGAGGGGAAGTGGAGGTAGAGGAAAGGCTCCACTGTTGGCTGAAGGGCACTGAATACCATGCCTCTCACCTCTACCCACTGAGTACCCTGTGTGCGCTCCACCCCAGGGAGCTGATCCCTGCAGTAATTTCAAATGGCTTCTTAGAGGAGAGGGCCAGCCCGTCCGGATTTCCCCCAAATGGGGCAGGCTGCCCTCCTACTCCTCACAGCACCAAGATGACAAAGATCCAAGACCTACTCCTGCATGAACCACTAGAGGAGCTGTGGAGGCAGGAGTTCCAAAAAAGTGAGGCAAGAGTCAGGGAAATAAATTAATAAATACAGGGGCACCGTGAGGAGCAGGTGGGAAAGCTGCTTCTCCACTGAGCACTGATCCCTGGTATCCACTCCAAGCATCCCCACAGGTTTTGGTGAGTGGAGGAGGGGCTACAGTTTGGAAGACGGGGAGCATTCACTTGGGACAGACTTCTGGAACTCAGAGTCTGCGTTCCATGCGCCGCTCCACAGCTCGAAGCAGCAGCTCTGAGTACTGCTCTAACAGGGCCTGTGTTTGCTCAGCCCCTACTGTCCCGGGGCTCCCGCCAGGGCTGGACAACACCGTTCCAGCCAGGGCCTCTAGCTCCTGCCGCACCGAAGAGAAGGTGTTTCTGAGGAGCTGGGTGATGCGACCTTGCTCCATTGAGGGTGTCTTGCAGCTGGCCACCTGCAACAGGACCCCGGAAGTGGGTTGGAAGAACAGGGGAGGGATCTGTCAACAACTGTATGACAAGGAGGGGCCCCACCTGGGTAGCCTGCCCCCTTCCCAAAAAAGGGACTGCATGCCCATCTGGGTGTGGCTGGGAGTTCCATACTCCCAAGATCAGCAAGTATGACCAGAGGCTATGGGATTGAGGAAGACTCTGGGGTGACTCCAAAGGAGGAGGCCATCAGATTATGGCACCATCTATGTTTTGCTAGCAACTCCTCTTTCAAGGCTTGGGTCCTGCTGTACTGCCCCCATGTCTAGGGTGCCAAATAGTTTTTGAATATGAAAAGCAATACTATTAATAACTACACTGGGAAAAGATGGTCCTGAGCAAACTAGGACATGTGGGCTCTCTACCCACCCTCTTCAGCTTTTAACCAGACATGACCAACAGGTGCTTGGTTCAAGAGGCCCAGCCTGGCCTCTAACCCCGTCACCTACTCTGTCCAGGATGTTCTTGATTGCAACATCCA